CAGTTCAAGGACATCCCGCACCTGATGTGCCCGGTCGTCACCGAGATGAACAAGGCGGCGGCGATCCTGGAGTGGGCGGTGACGAAGATGGACGAGCGGTACGAGCTGCTCGCCGAGGCGGGGTGCCGGGACATCGCCGGCTACAACAGCCTCACGTGGGAGGAGATCAAGGAGGAGCTCAAGCCGCAGAACGAGATGGAGGAGGCGAAGATCCCGCGGAAGCTGCCGTACATGGTCTTCGTGATCGACGAGCTGGCGGACCTGATGATGACGAACAAGGAGGTGGAGTCCTCCATCGTCCGCATCGCGCAGAAGGCCCGCGCGGTGGGCATCCACCTCATCCTCGCGACGCAGCGCCCGCAGGCGAACGTCGTGACGGGCCTGATCAAGTCCAACATGCCGGGCAGGCTCAGCTTCAAGGTGGCGTCGGGCATGGACTCGCGCATCGTGCTCGATATGAAGGGCGGCGAGCTGCTGCTGGGCCAGGGCGACATGCTCATGATCACGCCGCGGTCCAGCGTGGCGGTCCGCTCTCAGGGCACGCTGGTGGACGACCGCGAGATCCGGCGCGTGGTGAAGTTCGTGAAGGAGGTCTCCTCCCCCACATTCGAGCGGCAGCTCCTGCAGATCCGCACGGACGGGTCGGACGCCGCGGAGCAGCACGAGTTCGGTTCGGCGGAGGAGCACGAGGCGCGGATGCGCCAGTCCGCGGCGGAGGACCCGCTCTTCGAGCGTGCGGTGGAGATCATCATCGAGTCGCAGCGCGGGAGCGTCTCGCTCCTGCAGCGGCGCCTGGCGATCGGGTACACGCGCGCGAGCCGGCTCATCGAACTCATGGGCATGGCGGGGATCATCGGCAAGCACAAGGGCTCCGTCGCACGCGAGGTGATGATGTCGATGGAGCAGTGGGAGCAGATCCGCGACTACATCAAGGGGCGGGGCGGATTTGGCGCTCGCGACGGCGAGGAGGGGGAGATCGGCCTCGCGGACGAGGACGGCGACAGCGCGTTCGGCGAGGGGAACGAAGCCGACGAGGCGCCGTTCGACGACGAGCCGCGTGAGTACGCCGCGACCCGGGGCGCGCTGTTCGACGAGGACGAGCCCGAAGACGAGGCCGAGGCGAGCGGCGTCGCCGACTCGGACGAAGACCCGGACGAGGACGAGGACACCAGGGCGCTCGCGCAGGGCCTCGCGGAGGAAGCCGACGAGGACGACGCAGAAGACGTCGAAGAAGTCGACGAATACGAGGAGGGCGAGGAAGAGGAAGACGAGGACGCCGAGTACGTCGATGAAGATGAGGAATACGAGGACGAAGAGGACGGGGAGGAGGAAGTCGACGAAGAAGACGAGGAGCCCGTCGGCGAGGACGACGACGAGTACGAGTATGAGTACGAGTACGTCGAGGTCGACGCGGACGGCGAAGAGGTCGACGGCGAGGAAGACGACGAGGAGTACGAGTACGTCGACGAGGACGAAGAAGAGGACGGGGACGAGGAAGAGGACAGCGTCCCCGACATCGTCACCCGCCCGGTGAAGAACGGGAAGACCGACACGGCCGCGTGACGCGGGCTACACGTCGCAGCCGCCGAACGCGAAGAGGGCGCAGACGAGGTCGTTGAAGTCGACCGTGCCGCTGGCGTCGCAGTCCGACGCCCCGCCGCTCGCGCCGAAGCTGAAGAGGGTGCAGATCAGGTCGTTGAAATCGACGGCCCCGCTCGCGTCGCAGTCGCCGTCGCAGAGCCCGGGGATCGTCGCGGCGTAGAGCCCCTCGCTCGAATCCTCGAAGAGCACGCGGAAGGCGACGGTCCGTCCGCCGATCGCTTCCGGGGAGAGGCTGAAGGACATCACGCTGCGGGACGGGTCGATCGTGTCGTCGCGGTCGACGACCTTGAGCGTCTCGCCGTCGATGTTGACGTAGACCCCAAACCCGGTGGAGAAGGCGACGACGCCGTTGTCGGCGTCGAACACGTCGCGGACGTTGTGGAGAGGCGATGCGACGAAAGTGTCGTCGCTCCCGGGGATCAGGGTAAAACGGTCGACGACGGGTTCGAGCGGCGTGCCGCTCGGGAGCGACGCGTAGAGCCCCAGGCTGGTGGTCTGGCTCGTGCGGGAGGCGAAGTAGACGGTGCCGTTGTCGACGTCGACCCCCGGGCGGAGGAAGTTGACGAACTCGTGCAGGCCGCCGTCGGGCGCGGGCGTGGAGGAATCGGCGACGCTCCGGAGCAGGCCCTCGTCCCACGTGTAGACACCGGTGCGGAACTGGAAATCGCCCGCGCGGAACGAGGAGGCGCGGAAGGCGATCAGCCCGTCGTCGATGATGGGGCGTGTGCTGAGGCTCGTGAAGGAGGCTCCGGCGAACCCGGGGACGGGCGTCGCGCCTGTGGCGACGGGCAGGATGTCGCCGAACGTGTTCGTGAGGATCCCGGCGCCCTGCTGGGTGCCGCCGTTCCAGACGAAGGCGTTGCGCTCGTCGATGTCGAGCGAACCCTCGGTGAAGGTGAGCGTGCCCATGCCGTCCGGGGCGATGGTGGTGTTGTCGACGACGACGTTGCTGACGCCGCCGACGTTCTGGACGATCGCGCCGGTGAAGGCCTGTGTCCCGTCGAGCGTCGCGGCGAAGCGCGAGCCGTTCATCGTGACCCCGCCGAAGCGGACGACGGGGTTGCCGGGCTGGCCCGGGAGCTCGAGCCCGCTGACGAGGACGCGCGTGATCGTGCTCCCGTCGGTGGTGTACAGGCCGCTCGCGGTCTCCGTGCCGGCGACGAAGACGAGGGTCTCGCCGTCCCACGACATCATGCCGATGCGGTTGGGCAGGTCCATCACGTCGAGGAACGCCTCGCCGGAGACCGGGTCGAGGGTGCCGGGCGGGACGAGCGTGCGGATCGGCTGGGCGTGCGACGGGGCGACGGGCGCGAGCGTCGACAGAGCGACCGCGCCCACGAACAGACAGGGCCGTGCGTGCATGGGAATTCTCCTGTTGTCTTTGAGCGTCCGGGGGAGTCAGACGCGCCCGGCGCCCCGGAGTTCCGGGGGGATCCGGAGGGTGCTAGCCGATCGCGGCGACGAGCAGGATTCCGACAGCGACGTGCGTCATGAAGAGGAAGCTCGTCGCGCCGGCGTCGTCGCGCTGGGCGAGGAGCCAGGCGGAGATCATCGCGCCGATGGCGAGCACGGCCGGGGTGTGCCAGCTCCACGACCCGCGTCCCACGCCGACGTTCGCGATCACGATCGCGACGCTCAGGGCGAGGAACACGGCGGTGACGGCGACCTCGCGCCCGAGGACGACGGCGGCGGTGAGCATCCGCTCGGAGGCGTCGAAGGCGCGGTCGCGGATGAGGCAGAGCAGCACGAAGGCGCTGAGGAGCAGCGCCCCCAGGATCGTCGCGGAGATGGCCTGATCGAGGATGATCGTGCCGGAGAGCGACTCGATGAGGCTCGGATCGGCGCCGGCCTCGATCGACGCGAGCGCGCGCCGGCCGCGTCCGTTGATCAGGGCCATCGGGAGCAGCAGCAGCGCGACGGGCCAGATGATCTCCGAGAACATGTACCGCATGCTCTGGACGCGACGGCCGCCGGTGAGCGTCATGAGCGCGATGAGCGCCAGCACGGCGAGCGAGACGAGCGCGACGGCGGGCGCGACGAAGAGCTGGACGAGGCAGACGAACACGGTGACCGCGGCGAGGCGGGCGCGGGCGGTCTCCAGGGCGTCGGTGTTCGGCGGCTCGAAGCTGCGCCAGACGCGGAGGCGGGGCATGCGTCCCGCGCGGGCCTGGCGGGTGTCGGCGCACGCGAAGTAGAAGAGCATGAGCAGCGAGTGGATGACGACGGTGAGCATCCCGCCCGAGCCGTGGACCTCGCCCGCGGGGGCGGCGTGCGTCCAGAGCCACGCGTAGGGGAGCGTGAAGAAGAGCATCCACAGGCGGAGCGTGCCGAGCTGGGCGAAGAGGCCGTTCATGGCGGTCATGGTACCGAGTTGACCGGCCCGCCGAACGGGTCCCGAGCGGTCAGTGCGTCAGGGCGTACACCAGCGCGTTGGCGTTGATGAAGCTCGCGTTCAGGATCTCGTTCGACCCGCAGCAGCAGCACCCGGGCGCGGCGTTGGCGGTGTCGTTGAGCCCGGCGGGGGAGTAGAGCAGGGCGAGGCGGCCGTCGATCGAGAGCCCGCGAAAGACGGGGGTGTCGCGGGGACGCTTGGAGCGGATGGAGCGGACCTCGAAGAGCGTGCGGAACAGCTCGTGCTCGAGCGGGATCTTCTCGAGGGTGCGCGCCGGGAAGGCGCGGGCGATGGCGCGCTCCATGGAGGCGTTGAACGCACTGTTCGAGCAGCTCGCGGAGACGAGGAGGAACCCGCCCCGCGCGGCGTACCGCCCGAGGCGCTCGGCCTGCTCGTCGGTGAGCTCGAAGGCGCCGTCGCCCGTGAGGATGGCGAAGGGGTGGTCGAAGAGCTCGTCGGAATCGAGCGTGACGCGCGTGAGCTCCTCCGCCGTGTCGACGCCGGTCTCGTGCTCGACGAGGCCGAGGAATCTCGTGCCGATGCACTTGGCGACCTCTTCGTCCGCCGGCACGGTGATGAGCGCGACGGTCACCGCGCGCGGGTCGGGCGTCGGCGCGTCGGCGCGCAGGGCGGACGCGATGATCGAGGCGAGGATGACGACGGCGAATCTCACGGCGTGCTCTCCCGGTTCGCGTCCCGGCGCGCCAGTTCGCGGAAGTAGCGGGCGACGATCGCGCGCTCGCGGTCGCTCAGGGAAGCATAGAGGTCCCGCGCGGCGCCTTCGAGCGTCACTCGGATCGGCACCTCGGACGGGCCGCCCTCGAGCACGAGGGTGTCGCCTTCGAGGCGCGCAGGCGGCGGCGTGCCGTCGTCCTCGACCGCCCCGAGATCGTCGGTCACGAGCCGGTCTCGATCCGACGACGGGTCCCCGCGCTCGGCCTCGTCCCGCTCGCTCGGCGGCGGCTCCTCCTCGGAAGTTTGCGACGCGTCGCGGGCGCGGTCCGAGCTCCCCGGGACGCCCTCGACCAGATCGGCGAGGGCCTCTCTGATCGTGCTGAGCGTGGCCTGCGCCTGCTGCTCGCTCGGCGTTTCCGCGTCATGCGCGAGGAGTTCGTCGATCTGACGCGTCAGTTCCTGGGCCTGCTCGGCGAGCTGCTCGTCGGTCATCTGCTCGATTTGTGCGCGGATCTGCTCGAGTGCTTGTTCGACCGGGCCGGGCTGCTGGCTGTTCGGTTCGCTGGCGTCCGGCGAGGCTGTCGTCGCGGCCTGGCCCGGCGTCTGACCCGGCGGCGGCGCGACGGGCCGGATGAGCACGGCGGCGGTGTCGGCCGACTGGAGTCCGCTCCGGCTCACGGGCGTGAGGGAGAGCGTGAAGTGCTCCGCCGTCGAGACGGTGGAGCGCGCGACGGTCCGCGTGCCGGTGAGTTCGTATTCGACGCCCGGCGTCGCGTCCGGCGGGGCGAGTTCCGTGTTCGTGAGCACGACCAACTCGATCGTCGCGCCGAGCGGGGGCGTGAGCGTCGGCGGGTCGGCGTCGAGGTCAATTTCGACGCTCGCGATCTGCTCGCCGCTGACGAGGACGCGGGCGCTGGCGCGCTCGATGAACGGGCGGTCGATCGGGGTGATCGTGAACGAGCGCGAGCGACCGGTCGGGCCGTCGGCATGAAACATGACGGGCTCGGTGAGGCGCTCGAGCGTCGCTATGAACACGCCATCGCCTTCCGTCATCATCGCGAAGCGTTCGCCGGTGGATTCGTTGACGAAATCGAGCGTCTCCGGGATCACGAGGCTCGTGCGCGCGGTGACTACCGCGTCCATCGTGACGAGGAGCGGGTCGGGCGTGATCTCGATCTCGAACGCCGTTCGGGAGTACGGCGGGTGACCCGCGAAGGGCTCGGTGAAGCGGAGCCAGGCGCTGTGCGCGACGCGGGGGGCGATCGTCAGGAAGATCGCGAACACCGCGCCCAGGACCACGAATCGCGCGAAGGGGGCGAGCAGGGCGTCGCGATCGAGAACGCTCGCATTCGGCGCAGAATTCACGGTGTCGTCCGCCTGGCGGGTCGCGTAGCGGACGCGGTCGGCGCCGACAGCGCTCGTCGTCTCGGCGTGCGCGAGCTGCAAAGCGTTGACGAGGGTGTTGCGGGACAGGCCCAGGGCGGCTTCGAGGCGGGATGCCGCGGCGTTGAGGGTGCACCGGGACGCGCTCGCTGCACGCGCGAGCAGCGCGACTAACACGAGGAGCGAGGCGACACCCAGCGCGAGCCGGGCGGCGGGGGCGAGCGGGGAGGTGGCGTCGACCGCGGCGAGGACCATCGCGAGCGCGAGCGCACAGGACACGGCATCCGCGGCGCGGGCGAGGAATCGCGACGCGCCGATGGCGGCGCGGGCTCGTCGGATGGCTCTGAGGTGATCGCTCACGAGTCCATCCTCCGCCAGAGCCACTCGATGAGGAGGAGGGCGACGATCGACGCGAAGAGCCAGGGCGAATCCCACGCGATCGTGCGCGCGGTGCGCACCTCGGTCGCGCGGGCGCGTCGGTCCTGCTCGAGGAGCTTGATGAGGCGGTCGCGTCCGTTCAGGGGCAGGACCTCCCCGCCGGTGCCCTCAGCGAGTGTTCTCAGCAGCTCTTCGTCGGGCGAGACGTCGCGGAGCTCGTCCGAGTCGTCGTGGACGGCAAAGCGGATCGTTCGCACGCCGCCGCTTGATTCGTGGAGGTGCAGCTCGTGCACGCCCTGCTCGGTCGGGGAGACGGAGGCGCGGAGGGCGTTGGTGTCCGATGCGTCCTCTCGGAGGCGGACGCCCGCGGGCGCTCCCCGGGGCGGTGCGTGCTCGAGGCGCTCGACGGCGAGCAGATCGTCGCGCGTGCGCGCGCGGACGGTGACGCTCACGCGCTCGCCCGGGCTCAGGAGGGTGCGGTCGGCGCGGAAGCTGACGCCCTGGCCCGGGAGGAAGTCGCCGCCCAGCGCGAGCCAGCGGGCGGTGCGCGCCCAGAATTCGCGGTAGACCGAATCGTGCGCGTCGAGCGATTCCGGCGTGAGCGCCCAGCGCCAGAGGCCCTCGGAGAGCAGTGCGAGCGACTGCCCGCGCCCGACGCGCGCGTGCGCGAGCGCGGCGCGGGCCTCGCCCTCGGCGGACGTGTCCGTGAGCCAGAGGGTGGTGATGCTCCGCTCGCCCTCGCTCCGCGTGACGGCGCGCATTCCGGGAAGCTCGGTGATCGCGGCGCTCCCCTCGCCGCCCGTCCCGGCGAGCGTGCCGACGGGGGGGACCGCGTCCGCGCCGGGGGAGGGCATGAGCGAGCCGCCGGTCTCGATGGCGTCCGTCCAGGTGATGGGCGCGATCGGGTCGAGGGCCTCGGCGACGGGCGAGTCGAGCGGGGCGGGGGGCGTGCGCAGGAAGACGACCGCGCCGCCTTCGTTGATCGTGCGGTTCGCGAGGCGCGTCGCGAGCTCGGGCGTGAGGATCGATTCGATCTGCGCGCCGAGGACGGTGATGTCCGACTCCGCGAGCGCTCGCTCGATCACGCGGTCGGAGGCGTACGCGTCGGCCTGGATCTCGCCGGCGGCGCCCGGGAGGCGAACAATGCGGCGGGGCGAGGTGACGCGTTGCCCGTCGCGCCGGGTCTCGGCGGTGCCGACGCCGGTGACGGTTGTGAGCTCGACCTGCGGGTCTTTCGCGAGGGAGCGCGCCAGGAATCGGGACTCCCACGACGGGGCGCCCTCGAGCAGCGCGACGCGGATGCGCTCGCCCGTGACGCGGACGAAGACGCGTCGCTCGTTGTTCGACTCGTCCGCCTCTCCGGCGAGCGGGTCGAGGCGGACGCGCAGCTCGCGGACGCCGCTCGTGCCGGCGCCCAGGGGCAGGTCGATGCCCGGGACGGAGATCGACAGGTCGGTGCGCGCATCGAGCGTGACGGTGCGCGTGGCGAGGGTGGTTTCGCCGGTCTCGTCGAGGACGCAGACGGTCGCGCGGCGGCCGTCGTAGCCGGTCTGGTCGAGCGAGACGTCGATGTCCACGGGCATCGACTCGAAGACGAGGTCGCGCGCGGGCGCGGCGCGGAGGCGGGCGTCCGTCGCGGAGGCGGGCTCGCCGACGGGCACGGCGTGGACGCGCACGCTCGACGCGCGGGCGAGGCCGACGAGCTCGTTCAGGTCGCGTCGGGGCGAGGTCGAGCGGCCGTCGCTCAGGACGAGCACCGTCGAGCCCTCGGGCAGGTCGGCGAGCGTGCGGGCGAGGGCGGCGTGGAGGTCCGTCGCGTCGCCGTCGGGCCGGAGCTCGATCGCGCGGTCGGACCAGCCGGTGATCGCGCGGGACTCGGACGCGAAGGCGACGGGGCGGACGTCCGCGAGCTCGCTCAGACGCTGAAGCGTGTTGGGCTCGAGGTACGCGCGTTCGACGGCGCGCAGGCGAGGGATCATCCCGTCCTGGCTGAGCGACGCGTCGGGCGTCGCCATCGAACGCGAGCGGTCGACGAGCAGGGCCAGCGCGGGCGTGCGGCGCTCGTCCGGCAATTCCCGGATCGTGACGGGCCCGAGGAGCACGAGGGCGATGAGCGCCAGCGGCGCGACCCGAAGCAGCGCGAAACGGGCGCGGCCGCTCCGCCACGCGAGCGCAACGAGGATCACCAGCGCCAACGCGAGGTAGACGGGCGGGACGGCGGGGTCGAGGGCGTACGGGCCGGTCATGCCGCGGCCTCCATCGGGAGGAGGTCGTTCGATTCGGCCGATTGCTTCCGGCGCGCGCGCGAGGCGACGAGAACTGACTCGACGCCCAGCAGCACGAGCGACGCGAGCGCGAGCCAGGGCCAGAGGGGCGTCTTGTGCTCGGTTGTGGCGGTCGCGGTCTCGCCGGCGATGGTGCCGGCGCCGGCGAAGAGCGCCTCTTCGGCGTGCTCGTCGATAGGGCGCGGGTCGGCCTCGCGCGGGTCGATGTTCCAGGCGCGCCCGTCGATCGCGCGGCCGGTGTCGTCCGAGACGAGCCGAGCGGCTGGCTCGTCGGGAGAGATGTCGAGCTGTTCGACACCCGACGGCGCGCCCACCGTGAGCGCGGCGCGCGAGGTCGACGTGTCGGGCGTGCCCGCGACGGCGCTGACGAGCAGCGGGAACACGGGCGTGCGGAGGAGCGGGGACGATTCGGGCGCGATATCCGCGGCGAGGATGGTGAGCGAGCCGCGTCCGTAGGGGAGGCGGAAGAGGAAGGGTGCGCCGTCCGTGAAGCTCGACGCGACCTCCGCGGCGCTCGCCGGCTCGATCTCGAAGCGGGTCGCGAAGGGGACGGCGCGGAGCGCGGCGTCGAGCGCCGGGTGGACGCGCCGGCCGAGGACGCGGTCGGGGTCCGCGAGGCGGGCCTCGTCGGGCGCGGAGGACCGCTCGATCGACGCGAAGAGCGGCGCGTCGGGCTCGGGCGGGGGGAGTCGGAGGAGCAGGTCGGCCGATTCGGCGTTGTTCACGATCCACAGAACGGAAAGGCCGTCGCGCAGGCGCGAGGCGATCGTGTCGAGCGCCTCGTCCGGGAGGGCGCCGGGGGCCGCGATGAGCAGGGCGCTCGGGTCTCCGAGCGTATCGACGCTCGCGGGCGTCCCGTGATCGACCGACGCGAGGAGCGGCGCGCGGAGCGGCGAATCGTGGCGCGTGAGCACGCCGACGCGGTGGGACGCGTCGATGATGGCGACGATGCGGGCCGTATCGTCTGCGGGCGTGGCGTCGGCCGGGATCGAGAGTTCGAGCTCGTGCGCCCCGGCGGGCAGGCCGGCGGTCTGGAGCTCGACGGCGCGCGTCGACCAGGCGTCGACATCGATCGTCTCCGTGTGCACGCCGCGGGGAGTGCGGATGGCGACGGGGAGGCTCGCGGGTTCAGGGTGGTGGTTCGCGAGGGTGAAGGCGAGGGTTATCTCCGAGCCCTCGACGGGGCGCGCGGGGGAGACGGACGGTGCGAGCACGGCGCGGTTCGTGGGCTCGGCGTCCCGCGAGACGCGCCGGATCTCCGCGCCGATGAACTCGCCGGTCGCGACGCCCTCGAAGGCGTCCCGCGCGGCGTCCGTCACGAGGACGATGCGGCGCGGCGAGGCGCGGCCCGTGGAATCCGGGAGGGACGCGGCCAGCGCCATCGCCTCGCGCAGCGACGCGTGCTCGAAGGTCGGGCCCGCGCTCGCGAGCGCTTCGAGCAGCGCGGGGGTGTTCGTCGTGAGGCGCGGGAGGAGCGCGACGGGTGACCGGCGCGCGACGACGACGCCGAATTCACGCCCCGGGTTCTCGCGCACGTCAGCTTCGATCATGTCGTGCGCGCGGGCGAAGAGCGTGCGGCCGTCCTCGGTGCGGCGCATGGAGGCGGAAGCGTCGAGGACGAAGACCGTGCGCTCGCCGGTGACTTCCGCGGCGTTGCGGCTCGTCCATTCGGGCGTCGCGAAGGCGAGGCCGAGCAGGAGCAGCGCGAGGCAGCGGCAGGCGAGGGTGAGGCGCTCGCGGACGCGCCTCCCGCGGGCGGATTCGCGCTCCAGGTGCGCGAGGAACCGCGCGGTGGGCAGGGCGACCGTGCGGCGCGGGCGGCGGCGGAGCAGGTGCGCGAGGATCGGCGCGCTCGACGCGACGGCGGCGCCGATGAGCCAGCCGGCCGAGAGACCTGTGATCGAGGCGAGCAGGGGCACGTGTATGTTGTACACGCCGGGCGGGCGGGGGTTTTACGCGCTGGGCTCGGTGCTCGGCGTCTGGTCGCAGCCCGAGTCGTTTTTCGTGAGCCACGCGATGGTCTCGGCGAGGCCCTCTTCGAGCGTGGTGATCGGCGCGTAGCCCAGGAGCTTGCCGGCGAGGGCGATGTCCGCGACGGAGTGCGGCACGTCGCCCTGGCGCGGGTCCTCGTGCTCGGGGGTGAGGTCCTCGCGGTCGAACGCCTGAGCGATGGCGCGGGCGAGCTCGTTGACCGTCGTCTGCCGGCCCGTGCCGAGGTTGATGGCCTGGCCCGTGAAGTTGCCCTTGCAGGCGCCGGCGAGGAGGGTGCCGTTGACGGCGTTGGAGACATGGGTGAAGTCGCGGGACTGCTCGCCGTCGCCGTAGATGATCGGTCGCTCGCCGCGGCAGATGCGGTGCATGAAGGAGGCGACGACGGCGGCGTACTGGTTGTCGGCGCGCTGGCGTGAGCCGAAGACGTTGAAGTACCGCAGGCTCACGCCCGGGAGGCCGAAGCTCGCGCTCCACGTGCGGACGATGAACTCGCCCGCGAGCTTGCTCGCGGCGTAGGGTGAGACGGGCAGGAGCGCCTGGTTTTCCTTTTTGGGGAGCGTGGGGTCGTTGCCGTAGGCGCTGCTCGACGCGGCGAAGACCCAGCGGTTGACCGACGCCTTGCGCGCCGCCTGCGCGACGCGCATGGTGCCGATGGTGTTCACCTGCAGGCAGCGCTCCGGCTCGATGAGCGAGCGCGGGACGGAGCCCATCGCGGCGAGGTGGAAGATGTAGTCCGCGTCCTGCACGGCGTCGTCCAGCGCGGCGGGCTCGAGGATCGAGCCGTACACGAACCGCACGCGACCGCCGCCGTGCTGCTGGATCAGGCGGTCGACGTTCGACCCGTCGGAGCCGGAGAGGTCGTCGATGATGGAGACCTTGGCGCCGATCTCGAGGAGCCGCTCGCAGAGGTGGCCGCCGATGAACCCGGCGCCGCCGGTCACGGCGACCCACCGACCGGCGTAGCGGTCCTTGAAGAGTTGGTTGTGCTCGTCGGGCGCGGTCATGGGTTCCCAAGTGTACCCGAGGACCCGTCGTCTTCCGAATGAAATTCGGCCGGAACGTTGATCCCGGGGCGGAATCGCAGGGAGACCGAAAAACGCCCGCACGGTGCGGGCGTCGGGGGCTGGCTGCGAGAGATCCGGCGGATCAGGGGCAGGGGCCGAAGAGGAAGAGGGTGTCCAGCAGGTCGTTGAAATCGACCACGCCGTCGTCGCGCACGTCGCAGGGGACGCTCGGGCCGAAGGGCGCGTTGAACCTGAAGAGCTGGGTCACGACGTCGTTGAAATCGATAACGCCGGAGTTGTCGCAATCGCCGACGCAGGGGTCGCCCGTGAGGCGATAAACATTTACATCGCCGACGACGATGCCTTCCTCGATCGCGTTCGGCTGGGTGACAAAGACGCGTTGATTATGAACGGCCAGCTTGTTGCCGAAAGAAGAGCTCGGGGTCGGCGAGGGCGAACGGAATTTCACGAGCTGTGCGCCGGACGACGCTTCAAAGATATAGCAGGCACCCGTGTTCTCGCCGTCATCATCGTCGAGAATGGAAGTCAGCACGATTCTGCCGTCCTCGATCGCGACACTGAACCCGAAGCGGTCGTTGCCGTTGATGTCGTCCGGGATCAGGCGGTGCACCTGGGTCATTGTGCCAAGGTCGAACACGTAGGCCGCCCCGGCGAGGCCGCCGAAGCTGCTCTCGGCCCAGTCCGTGATCACGAGGACGTCGCCCTCGGTGGCCATGTTCGTCCCGAACCCTCTGCTCGATGCGGGGCTTGTGGGCGTAAGCGTGCCGAGGTTCGCTCCCGTAGTGACGTCAAACACAACAACGCGGTCCTCGTTGACCGGGCTGTCGCCCGCAGCGACGAAGAGCCTGTCGCCCGAGAAGATCAGGCCGGTTCCGAACTGTTCGATGTCGCCCGCCGGGGGATCGATCTGTCGCTCGAGCGCGCCGGTGGCGATGTCGTAGATGTAGACCGGGCGCGCCTGCCCGGCGAGGCCGGACTCGCGCAGGTCGACGGCCAGAAGCTGGCCGTTCGTCGCGGTGGTCCTCCCGTACCTCATGTCGACGAAATTGGCCGGGGGCGTGAGCTTCGCGATCTCGGTGCCGGTGTCCAGATCGATGATGTAGACCGCGCCGGTCGAGAGCGCTTGCGGCTGGACCGAGCTGATCGCGGCGATGTTGTCGTCGGTGAGCGAGATCTCGATGCCGAAAAGATCGTCCGGGCCGGTGTCGCTCCCGGTGAACGCGCGGATGAATTGTCCTGTGTCGCGCGCGAATAGGAACACAACCCCGGCGTCCTCGTCGAATTGATCGTCGGCGATCGCGCTGATGAGGATGTACGTGTCGTTGACCGCGATTCGCGTGCCGAAGATGCTGTCAACGTCCGCGTTGGGGGAGTCGATGGTGGACTCGTACGCCCCGATGGTCTGGGCGTTCGCAGGACAAAGACCGAGCGAAAAAGCGGCGAATACGGCCGCGATTGTCGGGATCGTTCGCATCGTTTCGTCTCCCATGCTTTGCGGACACTCGACAGGAAAAGTACCACGGCGAGGGCGGGTCACAAGACCTGGCTTCTGGATTTATGTTCGGTCGACAAAAAAACACCCGCCGGAGCGGGTGCTAAGAAATTCCTCTGCTTTGATAGGCTTCAGCCCTTGTTGAACTCGCTCTTGAACGCGTTGATCGCGTCCTTCAGCTTGGCTTCGAGGTCGCCGTCGAGTTTCTTGAGGTTCTCGAGCTCGTCGCGGACGGCCTTGCCCTGGTTCTTCATGTACTCGAGCAGGCCCTTCTCGAACTCGTCGACCTTCGCGGGGTCGACGTTGTCGAGGAAGCCCTTGGTGCCGGCGTAGATGGAGATGACCTGGTCGATGACGGTCATCGGCTCGTACTGCGGCTGCTTGAGGAGCTCGACCATGCGGTAGCCGCGGTCGAGCTGGGCCTGCGTCGCCTTATCGAGCTCGGTGCCGAGCTGGGCGAACGCTTCGAGTTCGCGGAAGGCGGCGAGGTCGAGTCGGAGCGAACCGGAGATCTGCTTCATCGCCTTGATCTGGGCGTTGCCGCCGACTCGGGAGACCGAGATGCCGACGTTCACGGCGGGGCGCTGGCCGGCGAAGAAGAGCTCGGGCTCGAGGTAGATCTGGCCGTCGGTGATGGAGATCACGTTGGTCGGGATGTAGGCCGACACGTCGTTGGCCTGGGTTTCGATGATCGGCAGAGCCGTCAGCGAGCCCGAACCATGGGTCTCGTTCAGTTTCGCCGCACGCTCCAGCAGACGGGAGTGCAGGTAGAACACGTCGCC